CGAATTATATATTTTATTTTATGTTTATTAGATTCAAACACAAATATCTGCATAGAATCAGGTGCGGTTTTAGTTTTATTGAATATATGTATGTATGTATGTATTTATCCGCTTTATCTTTTGTGCTAGAATTAACGTTTGAGGAGGATTTCTTCCACCTCATGGGTGCGCTCATGCACGAAAATGTGGTAAAATATATTAGCGTCTGTATACGTATGTATGTAAGTACTACTTGAAAATACCGATAGTAGATATTTTTGGCATTAAGAATACTACTTACATGTGCCTATTATTAATACATATTAGGATTTGTATTGTTCTTTTCTTTAGTTAAAAATGGTAAACATTAAAAATATTTATGGCAATTTAAATAAAAATTATTTTAGAGGGGATTTAATTGAGACCTTTAAGAGTACACAAGAGTTCAATTATTATACCATAAGTTCAATTATTGAGAGCAGACATACTATGTGTAAATATGTATATGTCCCTTACTCCTTGTTTCAGAAGAACCTTTCTTGCTATCGCTCAAATATACATAAATACATGGGGCTATATATATATAGGTATTGAAAATAGGCAATTAGGAAAGTGGGAATTATCGGTCCACGACTTCCTACCAGCCCCCATGCAAATGTCTTTTAGCGATATTATTTAAAAACTTATAGATATGACAGGCCCGCTAGTGGCCTACGTGTATTTCTTCGGATTTGATGTATTATACATCCTCCTATCAACCTAACCTATAGATATGATTGTTGAATATAAAGGCCAATAAAATTTGAAAAAGTCGAAACCAAATTATATCAGGTTTTCCAGATATTGTGTCAAAAAGAAAAACCATATTTTTGGGCACACTTTACCCTTATTACAGTGCGAAGACACTTTTTCATCTGAAAGTCCAACCTTTCGATTATAAATAAAAGGTTTCATCTCTGTTATATCATCTCCCTTCTTCGAGATATCTTAACCTAACTTTAATTGACGATATCTCAGCAAATACAAGAGATTTTTAAACAATTCAAAAAGATTTTTTATGGGAAGAATTATGCCTGCTTCAAGCTTTAGGCAGAAGACATAATAAACTTTAAAAACAAAAGTGTATTCGCGCTGTTATAAAGTCCAAATGTGGCAAAAAAACGGTTTATTTTAAATTTTTATGACACGATATCTGGAGAACCTGATGTGATGAGAGCAGCGTAGCTTAATCCTTTAGAAAAATACACTTTGGTCTCTGGGTTAAAAATTGTGTTGGCATTTGTTTGGTTCACAATTGACACTACCACATATAACCCATCTATCATAGTAGCGACCTGTGGTTAAATAAAATTCAACAAAAATTATTTGTTCTAATAAAATCGAATGTAATTTGTTCTAAAAATATGAAATTTTGCCTCTTTCGAGCAAAAATCTAAAATAACACCCTGATAAACATGATTATCCAATTAATTTGCATTTTCTTAAAACACTTTCACTTTATCTTCTAAATTCATAAATGAAAACCGTAAACACATTATATAGTTTTAAAAATAAAGTGGATAAAGAAAAGAAATAAATTTATTCAACAAGTTCATACAAATTCATGAAACACTAAAGAACTGTCATTTTCAAAAACCATACAGTCTGGTATTTTGTTTATTGACTTGACTGCACTATAAACAACAATAAAGAAATGCAATTGTGCGGGGGTATAAAAGAAGTAATAAATAAATAAAATAAGACGACTGACTGGCTGTCTGTACTGACCTTTCTTAATATAGTTATATCCATAGAATTCTTCAAAACATTTTAATGTCAATTCTAGTGTAATTTTCAAAAAAAAAGAACTAAACAAGTAAGCTTAAGTAAATAAATAAACACATTTAAGGCGAGATTTTCTTTTTTTGTTGTTCCATTTTTTCCTCATTATTGCCATTATATAGCACTAAGTTGGGCGACCATTTTATATTTTTTTTTTGGATGTAAAGATTCTTCAAATGGCAGAGCAAAAGTAACCAACAAAAGTTTCACTTAAATATTCAAATTGTTTACAAAAAGTAACAGTTACAGTAGCGTCAATATAAATGGGAACACATAAATATTTTCTTAATGTTGTTTTGTTAAAAACTTAAAAACTACATAGAAAGCTTTAATATTTCATTTTCGGAATTAAATTTGATAATAATTAGTAAATAAGAGTTGAGTGTGTCTCATCAGAATAAAAGATAATATATACAGAATACAATAGTCAAGACTGTAGTACAGACACTAAAGTAGTCGATATAGTCAAGACAATAGTACTGAGTTTAGTGGAGACAATAGTACAGAATATAGTCTAGACTATAGTACAGACTCTAGTGCTGGCTATAGTCAAGACTATAGTACAGTCTATAATTAGGACAATAGTACAGACATTACTTTAGACCATAGAATATAGTCAAGACTTTGCAGAGTGAGTTAAGTTCCTTGTGTTATCGATAAAGTTTCCTTTCTTTACTGGTATGTTTCGGTGTTGAATATGTTAATTTCTGACTTTCGCAGTGTGTTCCCCCGGGGCATGTTTCTTTTATAAAAGACCCTCATCTTGGTGTACGGGTGGCCAGTTACCCGCAGGACTTGTCTTGACTAGTCAGTTGGTTGATGTCCTTCGGAGTGACTGTGGGACTAAGCGTTGGAAATGAGTTGGTGTTAAATGTATATGACACAGGATGAATGTAGGGGTATACGGAACTCATCCGCCCGTATACCTATAGTGAATGATGATGGAGTAAACTCTGTTCATACCAGATTTACCACAGTGTGTCTCTGTGAGTAAGAACAAAGTCTCGGCATATTTGATGAATTCGTCCACGGGTTAAGTCTCTAGGTGCTGTTGCCGACTCAACAGAGGCCAACCCATCTGCGTGATTGTAAACAGAAGTGATGTTTTTGCATCTTGGAAGTTATGCAACGGGGCAGTAATGGTCAGAGATTATATATCTCAAGTACGTGCGCAGAGTGCACTGGACCGAAAATTCCATATACGTAAATTGCAACCTGCGTTGAAGAAGCACAATCTTACTTCGGTCTACCAAATAGTTATCTAGGTATTGTTGCCGATAGGGGACCTCTCAGTGTGTATGTTGTAGAGAAAGGCTTCAGATATATTCTGGAGATTTCCGGAATTTCCGCAATGGAACTGCAATGATCTGATATTAAATCATCTATCAGATCAGCTATTAGCTCGAGAGATTACCTCTCGAAGAGAGCAGGTTAAAATGGGCATGGGGTTAAACCTATCGACTGTTATGGCCTTGATTGTCCTCTAGATATTGTTATTCTTGGCACTGGAAAAGAGTCGGTTAATATGGTCTTTGAGTTAAAGTTATCAGTTGATATTTACTAATTGTTATTTAACTGTTTTTAAACATTGTGCCTTCCAGTTTATAGCCTTCCGTGTAATAATCCAATCCATTCTGTGATGACACGGACTTTTTAGACATAGCCTTAGTTTAACTTGTTGGTTCTCTTCACAGTGGTGTTTGCACTTTTCCCAGCACTCAGGTGATGGCCCCTACTTATACATAGTTTTGGTTTGTGGACATTTGATTAAAATCCTTTCACATACACATACGAACAGTGTAGCTGAAGAACGAATTTTCTCTGTGATATGTTGTGCGGTACACTGGTCAATCGATCACAAATGGGTGCGTTCTTGACGAAAGGCGTGCATTGCTTAAAAATATATGGGAACGAACAAGTTCCTAATTGCAGAGAAACACATCATATTGTAGTACCGATAGAGCAGTAAATACACCTCATGTTGCAACTGCATTCCATAGAGTTTGATACCATAACATTACTATAAATATTGATCAGGAGATACGCCCTTGGTAAGGAGATACCCCCTTGGTAAGTGATAACGTCTTGTCTAAGAGGCTGAGTTTTATCCCTCTGAAAAGTTGGATTTCCTTCTTCACCTACATACATAACTGAGACCAGCTGCATTGAAGGACAATAATAATATTGACCTATGACCTTTAGAAATATTACGAAATCGTCTGCACCGTTGACTGTATTCCTCTTTTGCTTTAGTTAAAAGGTTAACCAAAGTAATGACACAATTCTGCGATATAGTTGATCAAGTCTCAAATACTTATGTAGGGTGTTATAATTATTTTCATAAATATTTATAGTTTGTCGGTTTGCTTACACTATAAGCAGAGTGTCTGTCTATGTTTGATATTATGTCAGAATGGATGTGGTTTTAGAGGTGTGGGTGTTTGGTTGGCTTTGGGTTTAGGGGTTTTTGGTAAACATTTTAAGTGTGCATAATATGGAAAATTATTCATACTTTCATATAGTGCATTCATATGTAGATGTATTTGTAGATTCAGTGAAATGAAAATGAATATAAACAACATCTACAACAAAACAATAAAAAGGGAAACAAGACTTATTTAGAATTTAACACTGAATCTTGTATGACTTTTCTATATATACAGTACATGCATGGTATATGTTTATATACATATACATATGTATGTAAATATATAGTTAAAAGAAAATGCAGAATACGGGTAAAAGACATTTGAGTCCACACTTAACTTGAGTGTCATAAAAAAAGAATAAATTACATGTCGTATATATAAAATTAAATCTTTTATTATGCATTTAAAGAAAGATAGTGGGTTTTTTTTTTTTAGATTAACGGATTATGAACACATTTTTAACTTATTAAAATTTGTAATTTTGCGAAAATTATTTGGGTGACAGCTGCTTTATAATCAAAGTTACTGATTTTAAAATTTAACCTTCACGCTTAAAGGTCAACAGACTTACAGATTACATGTTTTGTAAAATTTGGATTAGTACTACGGAAATGATTCGTTAAAGATCATTTAACTATTCACACTGGTTCATTGTATCTAAAATTAAAATTGTGTTAAAAATAATTATAGAAACTTATTTAATTCCCATTTCTTTCTCTTTCAGATTGATCCCTTTGTCTTCTCTCAACACTTCTTTCTACCTCTTAATAAAATTTCTGCACACACTTCCAAACTATGAGCACACCCAAAATAGTTATAGTTGGTTCGGGCGCATCGGGCATTGCATGTGCTACAAAACTACTTGATTACGGTTTTGAGAATGTTGTTATCGTTGAGGCTGAACCACGTATTGGTGGTCGCATACACACCATACCATTTGCCGATAATGTAATCGATTTAGGTGCTCAGTGGTGTCATGGCGAAAAGGATAATATAGTTTATGAACTGGCACATAGACACGATCTGCTAGAGTCTACTGGGGATGTATACGAATCATATCAATGTGTACGTTCCGATAAAGAAGTTGTACCTGAAAGTGTTAGCCAACGTTTAAAAGACATTGTAAATGAAAGTTTGGTAACCAGACAAATGGAATTGAGAAATTGTAATGGCTCGCTGGGCAGTTATTTGAATAATAAATTCTATGAGGCTTTAAGAAGGCCGGAGAATTCCGATATTGATATGGCGATAGCAAAAGAATTCTTTGAGAATTATAAAAAATTTGAAAATTCCGTAGAAGCTTCCGACACCTTGGATGATGTTTCGGGTCGTGGATATTTAGAATATTGGGAATGTGAAGGTGATATTTTGCTCAATTGGAAGGATAAGGGTTATTTGGAGTTTTTGCGTTTGCTAATGAAATCCCGGGCAAACAACACTGAGTATGGTGTTTTAGAAAAGCGCATTTTGTTAAATAAGAAGGTAACGGCAATCGAATGGAATCGCAACGATTGTTGTGCCCAGTTACGCTGTCAAGATGGCGATATATTTGTGGCAGATCATGTGATATTAACGGTATCTTTAGGCGTACTCAAGGAACAACATATGAAAATTTTCGAACCCAAATTGCCGGTGGAAAAACAACGTGCCATTGATGGTTTAGCATTTGGTACGGTTAACAAAATTTTCATAGAATTTCCTACAAAATTTTGGCCTGAAAATTGGACTGGTTTTACTATGCTGTGGCGCGAACAGGATATTGAAGAGATTAGAGGAACCGCACGTGCTTGGCTTGAAGATGTTTTTGGCTTCTACTGTGATCACAATCAGACACGTCTATTAAGTGGTTGGATCATTGGAGCTAATGGTCGTCATATGGAAACACTGCCAGAAGATGAGATTTTAGCGGGTTGTATGTATTTATTTAGAAAATTCCTACAATGGGAAATACCCGAACCGAAAAGTTTTAAGGTATCAGCTTGGTATACAAATGAAAATTTCCGGGGTTCCTATTCTTTTCGTTCCATGAAAACCGAAGAAGTGGGCACAAGTGCCCGTGAATTGGCTCAGCCTTTGTGTGTGGTGACTACACCGCCCGTGTTAAATGGAGAGCCCACAATTGAACCCCTATTTACCCAAAGTCGTTGTGATAAACCCATTGTGCAATTTGCCGGAGAAGCTACCAGCGATCATTACTTCTCTACCGTACATGGTGCCGTGGAAGCGGGTTGGCGTGAAGCTACCCGTCTAGCTGACTTCTATGGCATGCTTAGAAATTCCCGTAAACTGCACAAGTCTAATTTATAACAATTTTAGGACTTTGAATGCCATTAAGGGGGATGTTTTAAACAGGGAATATTGAAATGATTTCATTTGAATATTCTACCGTTTAATAACATCTGCAATGACATTTAAAGTCCCGAAATGAAAATTTAAAAACTTAATAAATCATTTTCTAATATAGCGGTTACTTTTTTAAAAAAGCTACACTTACCAGCGCACTAAAAACATTTATCCTGCACACAATTATGATTTTAATTTAGATATTTTTGTTTCCATTTACATAGTATTAAGTTAAAATCATGTAAAGTAACCTGAAATCAGTTTCATTTTATTGCACTTTTAATTTGAAATTATTTTGTTGTATTATGATTTATTATTTTTTTTAATTTTTTATTTCTGGTCCTTTTAGTTAAGAAAAAAATTTTGTTAAAACTTATTTTTTATATTTATTAATTTGGATTGTAAAAAATAAATTTATTATACATACATGTGTATATCATACATGATCCATTTTTTAAATCATGTTCCTTTAGGACACATACATAGCTTGAGTTTTGTATCAAACTTTAAAACATTTGCTTTAGATATTACAGCAGCATTGAAAATTCAAATAAGTTATGGAAAGTATTTCCTTATTGTATCTATAAATAACAGTGGACTTAGCATCGTTAACAGATTCATTTAAACGTCCCAATGTCTTATATTTCAGAAATGTCAAATTGTACTTCATATATAAATTTATGATAATATTTAACGTAAATTTCTATTTCTATTTTCAAGTTTTCTCAGCATTTATTACGTCTGCTCCCGTACTGCAGTCAGAAATGATCAGAAGTAATCAGAACAAGTATATACCCACCATCAAACCTCGTTTGACTCGAATGAAACTTATATCGAATTTCATCTATATACTCGTATTTTTAGGCCAGTTATAAGCGTTAAAGAAATTTTCTGAAGGGGACCTTATGTAGGTGGGTAGGGTCAATTATGGGTCGATCCTCATAAAATTTGGTAGACAGAATTTGGTTCGTATTAAATTTATTTGTGTCGAATTTTATCGCTACACTCGTATTTTTAAGCCATTAATGAGCGTTGCAGTCATTTTCTGGAGGGGACCTTATATGGGGGGTAGGGTCAATCATGGACCGATCAACATAATATTTTTTAGATATATTTTGACTCATATGAAACTTACTTATGTCGAATTTCATCTATATACTTGTATTTTTAAGCCAGTAATGAGCGTTAAAGTCATTTTCTGAAGGGGACCTTATATGGGGGGTAGGGTCAATTATGGACCGATCCTCATAAAATTTTGCATAGTGATTATGGATCACAAGAAACTTACTTATGTCGAATTTCATCGCTATATTCGTATTTTTAAACAAGTTATGGCTGTTAAAGCTGCTTTTCGAGGGGCCACTTGTATGGGGGCTATCCGAAAACGTGGACCGATATTGCCCATTTTCAATACCAAACAAACCTTACCTATAAGAAATATTTATGTGAAATTTCAACCCTCTAGCTCTTTCCATTCGGACTCTATCGTGCTTTTAACAGACAGACAGACGGACGGACAGACATGGCTAGATTGTCTTAAAATTTAATGAGGACCCAGAATATATATACTTTTGTGGGTCTATGACCAATCAATGACAAAATCAATATACCCCCCATCTTTTTTGATGGTGGGTATAAAAACAACAAAATATATATACGTCTTATTGTAAAAACTTGCAACTCGGAATAGTATGGGAACAGACATACTAATATTTGTATTTCAGAAATTTATAATTGAGTTTTAAATCTGAATTTTTGAAATGCAAATGTAAAATTTTGAAATATAGTTAGCAAATTCTGAAACATAATTACAATGCATTAAAAATTGAAGTAGTGCTATTGGTTTTAAAACGGATGATTAGAGCCTGTACTCGTTCTACTTTGAGATTTTTGTTCGAAATTATCAGCTTCGGAACTAGTTCTGTAGAATCATTATAGAGTCAATACTCGTTATGTGAGACGTTTATGATACCATTTCCGTTATCAGTCATGTTTGTCGAATTTTCACCCTCGGAACTATTTCTAGGGAAGCTTAAAGAGAAGAGTTATGAAAACGGCTTCTAGAAGTATAACACCCGTATTCATAAAGATATCAATCGTTTATTTTAGGTTTATTACACACATTTTCCATACAAAATTCCTATAATAAACCATTAACAACTTTATTATGCGTTTATGAATATGGGGGTTAAACTTTTAATTGGAAATGTTGTAATTGAAAATGGTGTAGTAATTAGTAATTATTACTTCGCTAGGTGGTTATTTTAATAACGAATTAAAAAAAGGCTGAAAAACTCCGAAAATTCTGCAGAGACTTGGGACATCTTGGATAATGTCTCAGATCGAGTTTACTGGGAATATAGGAATGTAAGACGGATATTTTGCTCAGAGGCATTGAAAAGGGAGGAAAACTCCGATATTGTAACAGAGACTAGGGACACTTTGGTTGATGTTTTAGATCAAATTTACTTTGAATATATAATATTCAGCTCAGCTAGAGGGATAAATAATCGTCTGATGATATCCAAGTGTGAGAAAACTTCTTAGATGCTTTGTATACTTTTATCATATGATAAAAGTATACTGAAGGAACAATATAGGAAGGGTAATTTATATCCAAAACAAGTTCAATTGATATATTCGGCTATGCCGAATCTTAATTACCCTCCGTAGCTATCATTTAGTAATTGCTTTATACATCTATGCAGCTAATGTTAATCAAGTACATAACTAATTTATGGACCTTTTATGGAGATATGACCAATTATTGGTCAATCTAAACAAAATTTCGCAGAATGACTAATCGATACACAAAACATATGTTTATATTAATGAAATATAGGATAAAGCGATTTAAGGAAGTCTACCTTATATGAGAGTTATGATCAATTATGAATAGATCCGAAAAATTTTTTCAGAATGATGTAAAATGTTATACTTATGCTTCCGTTAGGTTAGTGTTCTAGACTGGTAGACCGGAGGTGGAGGGTTCGATTCACATCTGAGGTACTGGTAGAGGAGCGCGCAACAGGTCCGATGGAGGCCTAAGTGTATTTCCTCGGATTTGATGATCATACATCCTCCTTTCAAACTAACTATGCGGAATTTTATTCAGATATCTTTATTTATCAATGAAATTTGGGATTTTAAGAAGTGGATCTTATATGACAGATATGGGTGCTATGAACAATTATAGACCGATTCGAAAAAAATCGCAGGGTGGTTTATATATACTTTAAACACATTCATGACGAAACACATTTATAACGAAATCTGGGTTTAGGCAGTTATTGGAAATATTCATTATATGGGAGCTATGCTCAATTATGAACCGAGGCGAAAAATCTTTTGCACAATGATATATGTATGTATATAGAAGACATATTTATGTTGAATATTATTCCAATATCTTTATTTCTTAATGAGTTATCTGCATTTATGTGATTTTCTTAAGTGGATCTTTTATGGTAGCTATGACCAATTATGGACCGATACAGATCCATTTTTTTGATATGATTTCTGTGCAAAATTTTGTGCTGATAGCCATATTTTTGACGAAGTTATTAACGATAAATCCATTTCCGAAAATATGTACCTTTGTGGGGGCTATGGAAAATGTTCGATCGATTGTATTGATTTTGAATATAATTGAAAATTTTCATATGTATCAAAATTATTAAGAGATTTTTACATCTACCATTACTTTAAAATGTGAGCTAAGAAATTTAAGGGTATTAAAATAATTTTCGGAAGAAGAAAACTCTTTATGAAGGGTTCAGGGGGGCTGGAGTCAAATGTGTTTCGATTTCAATAATATTTAACAATTTAATTCTGAACAAAATACATACATATTTATCTACTTATTTTACACATTTATAACGATTTTTCATTGGTTTATTGAGAGGACCTAGGAGAATCGATGGACTGCTTAAAAATCATTTTTAAGATGATACCCGCCTTTGGGTAAAACGGAATGTAATTCTTAGATGTTTATAAGATCAATATTTTTTTGGATGGTAAAATAAAAGCAAAAATTTAAGAAGTCTAAGCGATCTATATAAGGCCTATGTAAGTGGATCTAGTAATCCTAAAGCCATTATTTATATAAAACAATAACAATATTTTCATAACTAAACCGGTTTATTACAAAGCTTATACTTTTATATTTTCCAACAATGATTAAATATAATACAAAATTTTATAAACTATGGCTTGATTTTTTTAAGAAATAATGTAAAACCAACCTTTAAAGAATATGTATGTAGTACGTTTAAAGTCTTATATAAAATTGATACATATTTTACCTCTAATATGAAAAAAGTTAAATATACATTGTTGCTATGCAATTGAGAAAATTTTTATAAAAAAAAAATATTAGATACTATGACATTAAAACAATCCAACTACAAAAATGTACACATTCTTTGGAGAGACCTAAGAGAAAACCTATTTATCTGTACTAAAAAAGAAGCAATTTTTAAATGCAGTCTAAGTCGGATCTTACTATATACAAATCATGTTTGCTGTAAGGGATTGAGTAAGAGCTTAAAAGTGTAGTGCTTACTCTCTAGCTTATATAAGGCATGATTTCTTTATTTCTTGGACATAAATAGGACTTATCTTAAGTGTTTCAAAAAGGACACTCAAACAATAACGAATAAATATGGGAAATATATCTAAAAGTTGTATAGTTGTTAAGATATCAAATAATATACACATATATAATAATAATGCTATATGTTTGTAATTGATTTCTAATAGCAGATTATAAAACATACGTAATTGTAGATGAAATAAGTAAAAGTTTCGTAATAATAAATTTTATTCATATTTTATTTTATTTATTTTTGCAATTATTGATTGCTTACACAAACATGTTAGAAATATATAATATTTGATTCGATTTTTTTCTTTTTTTTAAATTAGAAATTTCAAATGAACTATTTACAAAAATTACATTTACATACTATATTTAACAATTGTATATACAAAAAAAGATAATTAATTAAAATAAAAAACAAATAAATAATTAACTACTTGATGCACAAATATTTGCAATATTAAATATTATGTTGTTTTATTTCTACAAAACTAAAAAAAGATTGTATTTTAAACTTACATTTCAAGAGACAATTTTACTAAGATGTCCCACTGTCTAGTATAATAAGATTAGTACTGATTAGTATCATAAAAATGCAGAATTTTACTTGTTTAGTATGAATATTTATGAATCAATGCAAATTATCTTTGTAGTACAATATCTAATCGTTTTGCTTTTAATTCATATCATATCATAAATATCATTGAAAGTGTAAGATACAATTTTTTAAAATTTCAGTTTTTACCAAATGGAACAATA